AACCCCTGAGGGCCTCAGACGCGCCCCGGCGAGGAGGCTGCTGCCCGCGGGAGCCAGCGAGCCGGCTCTGGTCAGCAGAGCGGACACTCACTATCTTCAGCCACCGAGATGCTGGAGCGGCCGGACCTGGAGCAGGACAGCGAATGAGGAGGTTTTCCTGCCTGTGGCAAACTTGGCAGAAGAATGGAGACTTCGTGTACCCTTAGCTGAACTACCCTCACTGTGTTACTGAAAATCGCCCCCCGAGCTGGAGACCCCAGCCCAGGCAAAGGCCCTTGCCCCCTCAATTTTAAGAGTACGACACCATCAGACCGAGGTGAGAAGGGAACTAACCAGTCGTGGTTAGGAGGGTATGGCTAATAGGCGGTACTAACATTTTTTTTTAACATTTTTTACTGTATAAATATGCAATGGAATTGCAAGTGTGTGTGCTTGATTTGTGGACAACGTCCACCTCGCACCCTGCGCAGCATACAAACTGTCTCCCCTCTAAACATACTTTGTGTGTTCAGGAGTTATTTTTCATTTCGGGTAACGAAGAGGTGTCCCTGGGAGTCCTTCAGCCACGAGCACCAGCACCTCTGGGACCAGCAGACACCGAGGCAGCTCGTGAGGGCACGTCCTGCGTCTGAGAGAGCTTTGGACTCCGAAGGCGGGCGCGCTCCCACCAGAAGGTGTTCTCAGCCTGTCGCGCAGCTGAACACCTCTCCAGGTAAGCTTTGGCACCTGGAGGCAACACCCGGAGGTTTTAGGCAAACTGAGACAGGGAGGCATCAAAATCGGCATCCAAAAGCCCTTGCAACACCCCGGCATCCTCTCATCTAAAAGCATGTCCGAATCTCCTCTTGCCAGGCCCCCACTCCGACTTCGTTTGCGTTCAGGGGTAAAAAGCCCCTTAGCCCCTCTGCCACAGGTACCCGATTATGAACAGAAGTAGCGGGGTGGGTGAGACGGGGGCCTGGCGGCTCTCTGGGCTCTGCAGCCAGCGTCACTGCCCTCTCCAGGGGAGAGAGGCTGCAAGGAAGGGCCACAGGAGTCGGGAGTGAAGAAGTGTCACTGGGAGCCTGGATCCAAAGTGCCGTTTGCTCCCGGCATGTTAAATGCAAAGAGCGTGTGAGAGGGGGTGACCGGGCTTTATGGCAGCACGTAACAGCCTAGGTTCCCAGGAAAATGAAACAAGTAAGACCTAGCGCAGCGTGTATGACTGTGTCCATGCCCGATTTCAGCCTTAGCAGGCAGAGGAGTAAAGAGCTTCGTGGTATGAAGCTGCTGCATGGCCGAAAATGGGAGGCCAGGGGGGGAAATAACAACACTTGACTCATGTCCCCATGAAAGGGAGAGGCTGCAGTGTGCTCTCGGCGCGTTAGGCACCAGAGAACCCCAAGGAGAGCGTGCTGTCGGAAGAGGAGTCTGCATTCCACAGGGCACAGTGTGCTGCTTGGCTTAGGGCTGGGGGTACGCGCGAGCTGAGCTGAGCCACGTCCCACCCCTCAGACAGCCCCTGCCGACACACGCAAAGTGCTGGGTGATGCCCCGTCGGGGCTTGTGTCCTTTCTCTCGCTGGTAAGCAATGGTCCTGCAGCTTCCTCCTGTGGAAAGGGACATGGATCTACACAAGGAGAAACCACTGCAGATGAAGTGCCTCATCCTGACCCAGGAATTATTTTATTGCCACCTTTAGTAAGAACAGAATTGGGCCCGGACACACAAGCAAGGGATGGGCAAGGAGATCCAAGCCAGGAACCCGCACTCCTGGCCCAGTCCCTTCATCGGGAGGCATCCTCCTCCTTGCAGAGGTAGCAAAGCCAAACCTCAAATGGTGAGACGTGTCTTCACGCCGCTGCTTCAGTATACTCCAACGACGAGAGGTAGCCCCAGCCCTGGAGAGCTTGGGCCCTGATGGAAATGCTCTCTCAAATCTAATGCTTTTATCTGGAGGAGCTCTGTCCCAGTGGAGTCAGTAGCTTTGCCAGGAGGAGAGAAAATAGATTTTGTGCTTTATTTCTTGATCTTCTTGCCCTTGCGCTTGCCCTTGCCCTTCTCCTTGCCCTTCTTCTTTTTATTCCGTTTTGACTTGAAGTGGGACCGGACCAAGTAGCCTCTCCAGAAGGCCTGGATGCGCGTGGCAGCAAGGGTCATGGCGGTGAATTCCTTCAAAGCCTGCTCCTTCTTCTCCTGGCATATCCTGCTCTCCTCCTCAATCTGGGTATACTCCTGGAGAAGCACAGCGCGCTTCTCCATCAGCAGGGCCAGCTGGGCCTTCTCCTTGGCGTAGGCAGCGTGAACCTCCTCGTACTCAGCCTAGCAAGACAGCAGATACCAGGTACAGCAATGCTGAGGGCATTCAGCCGCCCCTCCCTGCGCATCCCTAGGCGAGGGCTCTCAAACCCATCCCAAATCCAGGCAGAACCTCGACTGGGAGCTGAGCTGAGCCTTTGCAAAGGGACTGAGAATGGAAGCGTGTACCCAGTACCCAGGGAATTTCACGAGACACCAGGTCCTAGTACCTTTATGCTCCTCTGAAAAATACTCTCCTAGTTCCCTGGGTGCTGCAGAAGCTGGGAGCTCTGAGCAGGCAACGCACAGGCAGGGCAGAGCCCCTCCTGCAGCTGCTCTGAGCAGCAGGACACATCGCCGCGGTTCGGTAAGGCCGAGCCCGCGCTAGCAGCTTTGCTGAGACGCCGTTCAGGTGAGTGGCACTGAAGCCCAGCTGATGCGCCGCACGCTGCTGAGAGCGCGAGGAGAGCCTGGCCACATCAGCCGGGAGAAGGCCATGGACAGGTCGTTTTAACGGTGTTGCTGCCCTTCCTCGCTCAGCAGCAGGTTATGCCTTTCCTAATGCCTTTGAGGAGGCTGCGCGGAGGCGGAAGATTAGGGGAAACCGCAGCATGGATGCGTCTCTGCCTTAGCAAGCTCTGCCCCAGACCTGCCGGGACACGATGCTCCAGCCGCCCAGCAGACAGGAAACCAAAATAATGACGTTGTTAAACACCTGACGAGGGCGGGGGGAGAACTCCTGAATGCGTAGGCAGGACAAGGATACCTTTTCTTCCAAAGCCTCCAAAGCCTGTGCTTCTTGTAGATGGAAAGCTGCCCCTCACTTCCACGGTCTCCTGTGTAAGGGCCCCGTATCCACTGGGACAGGGACCTACCCGAACATATCACCTCACAGGAGAGCAAAGCACTTTAAGGAGGATACCTGTTTTTCTCCCATGTCTGTGTTGTATTTCTGGACCCAGTTCATAATTTCCGTCTCCACTCTACAGTTTCTCTGAAACACAGAACAAGATAGGTTCCTTACAGGCACCTGAAGCCTCAGTTAGAAAGCAGAGTCTCTCTGAGACCCAGTGTCGTGATGTTTAACACCTCCTTCTCGTGGCAGGCGTCCTTCAGCTAACACGTATTTTGTTTGCGCTGGTTTGGGGATTCTCATGGGACGTTCCCTGAGGCCAAAAGGTGGAATCGCCAAGAAGAAGACCAGCTAGAGCCTACCACAAGTGCCACACAATTTCCTGTATGACACCGACCCAGGATGTCCCCAGGGCTCCCAGGCCATCCTGGGGCCAGACCTCAGCTATTTCGACCACAAGCACAATGGTGGGCCAGCGGGGCTAGAGGACGTGGTAAGGAGGAGGAGAGGAGACCGCTGTGGTCAGTCAGTCCCTCCCTGAGCATGAGAACGAACTGAGCAGCTCAAGAAATACTGCAGGGGCCTGCAGCCTCACAAGAAACTGCCTGCTAAAGCCACTCCATTAAAGGAGGTGTAAAAAGGTGGATTTGGGATTTTGCGCTGCGGCTCTGACTCGCGTTTGGTGCTTTGTCAGTGCCCAGCCCCGCTGCCGCTTCGCTCTGCGCTGTCCGGTGCCAGAGCGAGAGATGCCCCTCACCCGTGTGTGCCCGTGGGAGGCCAGTGCTCTACCAAACACCCAGCTGGAGCAATACGAGGGGGAAATGCTTTCTCCAGTCCTCGATTCTCTGTGCCCTGTGGCACCAGCATGCGCTGCTCAGGGCAGAGCTGCTGACGCAGAGGCCCGAGCCTGCCTGCTGCTCCCGATTCCTCCTCCTGTATCTGCTCAGCACTGTGACAAATCGCATTTCCCCCTCATTCAGCTCAGCCCGACCTCTTGGCTTGCGTCTCAGCGAAGCGCCAGACAGAGCAGAACTGCTCAGCTCCCAAGCTCAGCTGCGCTCCGCCCTGAACGCTACAACCAGCTCTGAAGGACGGCTTTACATACAGCCAGTATGATGCCTGCTCCGCCTGCCCCACACCAAATCCCTTCTTTCCTGACACGGGCCTTGCCAGTTCGGCTGTAGCCTTGCTGCTCTGCGCTCTGACCAGCGCACAACTGCCCCGGCGCGCAGTGTCACAGCGCTGTGCAGAGCTGTTTTCAGAGCTAGGTCGGCAGGCAGGAGGAGGACCTGCGAGCAGGCTGCTTCCCTGCTGTCGCTGCAGCGTTGCTTTCCCCTGGAATCAGCAGAGCATGAGGACGGAGCAGGTATGCTCTGACAAACAGCATCTGCATCCTGCCAGCAGCTAGCAGGAAGCAAGTAATTACCTGCAGCAGCCAGACCTGACAGCACTACAAAAGGTTTTAAACCTCTGGTTCTGGAGCTCTCCTCCCGTTTACCTTTCTGAGAGCCAGCTCCGACGCTCGATGCTCCAGTACAAGGGTATTGAGCTGTGCTCCGAGCTCCTGAATGTCCTGCTGTAGCCTGGCACACCTGGCCTGGGAGGCTTTCCGCTCCTCTTTCCGCTGTTTTTCTCCTTCCTGCTTGGTCTGCTGGATGCCTGCCTCGCAGTCTTTGGTCAGCTCTCGCATGCTGTTCTTGAGGTCTCTGATCACGCTGTCCTTGTGAATCTGGACCCAGAAAACAGGAGAAAGAAATACCGTCGAGAAATGCCAGTGAGGCCTAAGGTGGGCAGCAGAAGTGAAGAACCCCTGCAAAGGTGGAGGAGACCTAAGAAGAGACCCCGCTGCGCTGGGAGCGACAGGGACCTGCCACTGCTGGCTGAGGGAACAGCCCTGGAGATTAACGGGGAGCGTTGGACG